AGCCTACATTAGTTGCTGAGCAGGTCCAGAGCTGGGGTTTCATTTCAGGGTTTAGAGGAGCATTTACACTGTGATATGCATGTGTTGATACATGCGTATCTAAATATGCATGTATGTATATACGTAATATCAGTGTCAAATGAAAGGCAAACTGTGAAGCCTGTGGCATTAACGACGGTATAGTGTGTGCCGTCAAGTCATCACTCACCAGCGCACACGTCCGGTTAGGCCACACTACATGATACCCCTAAGTATATTATTTTCGCTTGTGTTTTTGTACTGATCTGGTAATAATGGTGGCCGGAATGCTAAGCGCTTTCGATCACCTCACATTTTATTTTTTATTGCATTTGTTTTGAATGTCAGAACTAGGAACAGAAGCAAAAACATCGCACTGTGGAGGGATCACGCAATGCTGCCAAACAGAATGTGCGGACCTGTCTATGGGTTGATGAGTAGAGGGCATTCACTACATCTTTGATCATGCAAGGGCCACGCACTCCGCTATTCGGGTTTCATTTCATGTCGATTGTACATAAATACATACATTCGTACGACAGGCATTTAAAGAGTTTGATTGGGGGGAGATAGGGGTTCAAACTTATATTGCTCCTCTCCCTTGCTACACCAATGTTGCACACAACATTGACTGCAAACACTGTTCCGACACGCGAACTAGTCTACCTGTCAGTGCTCAAACAAGAGAGGCACAAATTTTGTTAACGATATCACAAGCAAGCTAAGCGGCGTTTCAGTGATCATGGTTTGAACTTGGCTAATCTATAAACTGCACACTACCCTGAAATAAAAATAATTACTGGGTTTCAATGTGCCAAAACCACGATATGATTATGACGGACACCGTAGCGGACGGCTCTGGAAATTTCAACCACCTGTTTTTTCTTTTTAACATGCACCTAAATTTCAGCACACAGGCCTCAAGAATTTTGGCCTCCACCAAGCACCATAGCTGGGATGCACTGCCACTTCGAAAACAATAAGACTCAAGGAAATTATGGGGATGAACAGAACAACGTCACTTAAGTGTGACACATACCAGCAGTTGCCTTGCGGAAGAAGCTCTCCTGTGCTTGCGCCAGCATCAACGCCTGAAGGGCAGACACTGTGTCGGCTTCAAGGTCAGGAGTCAGGTCGTGATGCACATTGGGTGCACAGTGCTTCATTTGCTGGAAGATTCCGCTGGCTTGCTGCAAAAGAAATCGCAGAGTGAGGAACTGTTTGCCCCAAACAATCCTAAGCAGTGAGGAACCTTGGGAGACACTTCCGTAAAGAGCCCTGAAATACTGCCAACTACCTAGGATTCAACGTGCTTCAAAAACTTGGAACACAACGGTCCTTGCATTATATCGTCCAAGTATGAATTCACAACAAGAAAGAGCTTGCAAATTCATGCTACAACAAGTGATGCAGGAATCGCGGAGAAGGAGAGTTCATGAAAACATCTTTGATTTTACACTGAGGTGGTTTGTGTGTACCAACATCTTTGACATCCTGGGGGTTTTCATCATCAATTTAAACATCAGTTCACAATCAGTTTTGCATTTCCTCTCATTCAGCGGATATTATGAAGTATACCTTGCAAGTGGAGCAATGGGCATGAAGAACAACAAACATTTTGTCTACTTTTTTCTTTGCAAATTAAACTGGATATGAATACTTACAACAATAGCAATGACCGAAAACCCCAAAACTGCGATGTACTCACCTGAAAGTACTTTGCGCAAGTCTTCAGCCCTTCGTCGTCACTAATGTCTGCACCCAAGCCTGCTGCAATCTGAGACTGCATAGCAGCAATGTTGAAGAGGATGCAGAGCTTTTCATAGCTAAGAGAAGAGAGTGCTGGTGTTGCAAAGAACAGAACAAAAGAAACAAAACTTGAAGCATCGAATAGAAATAAGTTCAGAGACAACTAAAGCCCACCCCCAGCCCGAACCCTATCATTTCTGATCAAACACTCTAAAAACACAGACCAATGCAGGAATACTAGACAGGGCAACAAGACAAGAATGTATTCCAACATCTGACCAGACAGGACATGGTACGTAATTACAGGAGTGCACTTTTACTTTTTTTTTTTTGCAAACTGAATGTTATATACTCAAAGGCCAGCAATGTTTTTTAACACAAGTTTGTACACACAATATTTTACATTTACAGTTTTTGACTGAGTTTACGATGTGCCAACTTAAATCGTATGCCACACTCTCTCTTCATCTCTTTTGTACTGAAAACAAGGCCCAAGAATCAAAAAGGTGCATCACTGCTATACTTACCATGTTGCAATAATGCTGCTCTCAAAAAATGTAGCAAACTAAATTATTTTTCAAATGTACTGGACCGATTTGATAAAAAATATGGCATGTCAATTTTTTTTTTTGGTGCCTGTTGCATTCATGTCCGAGTCTGCATTGACTTACGATGGCGAATCAATATAGCTTGCACCGTCATTTTTCCTAACATGGTGTTCACAGTCTTCTCGCTTCTGCCAAACTATTCAGAGCTCAGACGCAAAGCTCACCACATGCTTAAATTTCATGCCCATAGCAAGACGATTGCCCCGTCGAAGAGGTACAACGGCCCAGCCAGTCATGGAGAAAATTTAGCTCCTGCACCGTGCGCTTGCAAGAAACACTCTTAAGCATCTATATGAAAACAAAAACGCCCCAGCAGAAGCTATCGATCAATGTTGGTCACAATCTACACATATAGCACAGTCATTGATGAGGAGTTGCGTTATTTATCTGAACATATGTAGACTAACGATATAGATGATATGTGGGGTTTAATGTCCCAAAAGCCACCATATGATTATGAGAGACGCCGTAGTGAAGGGCTCCAGAAATTACATGCAGACTAAATGGCGACTGATAACCCCTCACCAGTGTTGTTGAAATGTGCCAGTGTCTCATTGTACTAGGTTGCACAGACGTAGAATTCAAGAAACCATCAGCACTTTAGAAAGTGTGCCATGCAACTGAACACACTTGCTAGCACAAGGAACATTTTTAAAGGTGTTCTATTCTGCATGATTAGGTGGTTTATCAGTATTGGAGACTAATTTTCAATTAGCACTTAATACCTGGTACACCACACATGTGGGAACAAACACACTGCGACACAGAATCAAGTGGACAACAGTGTTGCTTTGAAATCCCAGTAAATGCTTACAGATACAACATTTATCAAGCAAGCGCTAGATGCTGTTATGTTTAGGCCCTTCCATCTGCTGAAATGTATCTATGGCTTATCAAAAAATAAAAGCCTGTTAGAATGGCATAAATGATTACTATACAGCTTTGACACACCTTGTGATCATCACTGGGCTTGATCTGAAATGGACCTTTTTGAATGCTGTCAAAGCGACACACCTCATATACAAGAATATTTAGGCTAAGCAAACTTGAAGATGACATGTAGCAGAGCTCTCTCTGTTATTACTCAAGTGGACACGAAAGTGCTCGACAGCATGGACATTGTGATCACAGCTGCCTAAATACAGTTCTTACTTAAGCTGGCTGTTCCACTAAAGAATCCTCCCTTGTCAAACGCATCCTTCCATTTGAATGGTATCTGAAATATTACAGAACACAAATGAATTACCATTATCATAAAGATGTCACAGCTTTTTCTTGGCGATGAAATGCATTGTCATGCAATTTATATTGTCTCAAGGTTTGTATTATACCCCACTCTTCATCCCCACAAAATATATGAGGTTTGTTTCCTGCTTTCACTTCATATCATTTAAGTTGACATGTCAACTCACTCAACACCAAGAACATGCTTTCTTTTATTAAAAAATAACAAAGACAAATAAAGGGGTGGTAGTTTGCCCTTTTTTTCGTTCGTGACTAAGTATAATTTTTTTTTTCTTGACTCAAAGTCTGTTGAAAGCGAAATCGCATGTACACATATCTCAAGCCAGCATTAAAAATTTGTGAAACAGAAATACCGAGAGGACATTACATTTACAATTATGTCACATTCTTTACAATTATATCACATTCTTTTCCTAGCAGAAAACATGCTCGACGAAAGGCATTGACAAACATATTTGATTCCACATTCTTATCAGCTACAGATAGCAACAGCTACTACACAAACGTGGAAGATGCTAAGTCTGTAACAACTTCAGAAATATCTAAGAAGAGTCATTCTGTTTTACCTGTATGTCGTTGGGTGGAACCTTGGATTCAAGCGACGTGAGCTGATCGTAATACCTGCGCAAACAACACTGCCCGTGTCAACTTACCGAGACATAACAACGGCTGGTCAATGCTTGTCATATAGCACTAACGGTTGAATTTTCCAACTATAGATGTCACGTTTAGCACGGAATCACTCGTTAATCGTATCTTGATAAGGGGCGAGAATGAGTGACCCAGATTAAAACAACTACACTGTTGTGATCGATACGATCATCTGATTCGGATGTCATAAACGCAGGATACCACCTACCACTGTCAACACTGTAAGCACACACAAACGACACTTCTGACAGGCTCAGCAGACGATCTCCGGCAGCAATAACACGCAAGCGTTCACGAAAGGACAAGCGGCACGCTCGAATGAGCCCCGTACCTGAACATAATATCCAACGAACTTTCGTGCTTGTCGAGGGTTCTCCATGTTGCGTTCATGCGAAGCTTGTTCAGCTCCGTCAGGGCTTCGTTGTAGTTGGACGGTTCGTCAGCCGTGGAATAGTATGCAGATATTACATGGGCCAACGGTTTAATTAGGTCGACCTCAGAGGTCTTTTTCAGCGGCACCGCCAAGTAATTTGCCGTCATCTTGGCCCAGCCCCTCGCACGGTTATCCTGCTGCTGCGTTCGATTTCGACAATCCGCAGGCCTGGCTACATGCGACTCCTTTCCTTCTTTTTATTCTTCACGGGTGACTCATATGAATGGGTTTGAAATGCGGTTGAACGGTGACAGCACCTGAAGTTTTTCTGAAGTGTTCGCTCAAGTGTCTACAAAGTAATCCTGGTGGTGCCAGTAAACGCGTGCCGAAGTCTAGAGCGAAACTGCACTCCTTTTCACGCCAAGTTATGAGGAACCAGTTTAGAGGATGATTGCCGGTTTCTCCGATTACGGCGTCAGTTCATCCAGCCACGTGACTAAAATGGCAACTATGACAGCGTACTTTTCGCGTTTTTCGCGCCCGTTTGCGGCTCTCACTTCTTGGCGGTGCTCGCTGGAGGTGAACATATCGATAAATTTGTGCCGCTGCGCAAGTTTATTTGTTACAATGGGCAAATCGGATGCCAAAAAGACGTCAAAGAGGAAGCGAGGTGGAGATGGGGAAGCGACGGAAGCGGAACAAGGCACCGCTGCGAATAACGAGCCCGAAGCAACACCAAAGAAACCCAAATCTGCTGAAGCCGGCGATCAAGCTGGAAGCGGCGACTCTGATAAAAAGCCGTGGAATTTAAAGCTATGCTCCTGGAACGTCAATGGTGTGCGCGCGTGGCTTGGGAAAGAGGGTCTGGAATACCTAAAGAAAGAGCAACCTGACGTCTTTGCCATCCAGGAGACCAAGTGCTCCGATTCGAAGTTGCCTCCGGAAATCAAGAACGTGGAGGGCTATAATGCGTACTTTTTAGCGGGAGACCAAGAAGGTTATTCAGGGGTCGGGCTCTTGACGAAAATCAAACCGCTCGACGTCAAATACGGCATCGGTGTGGATAAGCACGATAAAGAGGGAAGGGTCATTACCGCAGAGTACGAGAAATTCTACCTCGTAGCCGTGTACGTTCCTAACGCCGGGAAGAAGTTGGTTCGCTTGGATTACCGCATGGAGTGGGACCAAGATTTCCGCGCCTACCTGAAGGAACTGGAGACCAAAAAACCAGTCGTGCTTTGCGGCGACATGAACGTCGCGCATCAAGAGATTGATCTCGCCAATCCCAAAACTAACAAAAAGAACGCGGGTTTCACCCAAGAGGAACGCGACGGCTTTACGACTCTGCTGGACGCCGGTTTCGTCGACTCGTTCAGGCACCTCTATCCGGACAAGAAGGGAGCGTACACCTTTTGGACTTACATGATGAACGCGAGAGCCAAAAATGTTGGCTGGAGGCTGGACTATTTCATCCTGTCCAATGCATTAGAGAGGAACATAAGTGACAGCTTGATCCACAGTGAGGTGATGGGCAGTGACCATTGTCCAGTTGTTTTGTTGCTGAACATTTGACGCCGCCAACCATTCATATCCTGTTGCGTTGCTTCATACGGCCACTGATCTGTGTTCATTTTTTTTTTTTTCAGTACTGTAACCTAGCATAAATTAGAAAAATAAAACACCGGAACCCTTTCTGAAGACTTGTGTACCATTTTCATCCGTGCCACAGTGACAACACATCAGCAAATACAACACACACTCACCATCATATGGATGTTTTATTCAAATGAAAATTCAACAAGATTTTCTTTTAAATCAAAGTCAACAACTAGAGACTAGCCAGGAAAATGGCAATGTCTTGCAAACAAGGTTAGGAACTTGCCTTCATCTAACAATGTAGGTAGTTTTAATGTTAGCAAATCACAGCTCCATGCAGGTCTCCCCTTAATTATGTCATCAACCACAAGTAATACAAAGGAAGCTCGTAGCAGTGCACAAATATGTGTAGTTCAGCACATTGTTACTTGGCATGATGCATAAGCTGCTTTGGTTTGGTCCTGACATAGGTGGGCACAGGGCAAGCTAACAGTTGTACACAAGTGTTCAATCACAAAACAACTAGTTATCCAATTTAATGATGTAGTCTCAGCAACAATTTATTTACATGGCATAGAAGAACTTTATTGATTTGCACGCAAATATTAAGTATAACAATATGTACACACAAAACGATGCAATCGAGGTAAATAGAATTAAGGGCACTCGGGGGTGTTATGGTGCATAGCATTGTGCGTCCCAAGAACGCATTTTCCAATGTGCGCATAAAATGTTTGCTAACAGCCGGCTAGCATAGAAAAGCGCAGCGTAATACGTAGAAATCATATACTGCTCGAAAAATCACATTAAACCGCGTAAATGCAGTCAGGCTGATTCGAATGTTTAAACAACAGTCATTCATAAAAAGCATCAGATTCCCGAAGTGATTGTGGCTTGGGCCGATTCCGTGAATCGGAAGGGTCCACTCGGGTTGTGGAAAGTGGGGAGCGCAGGGAACGAAGGAGACCAGGTGTTTTACAGGGGCTTCTTCATGGCGTCCTCGATCTTCTGCGCAATAAATTTGGCCACCTCCATGTCCTTGATGTGGACGATCTTGCCAGTCTCTTTAGAGCCAAAGAGAGCCTTCTTCTTGGGCTCTTTGAGCAGAATCTTGATGCCCTGGCTAGTGACGGTTGGCGGCTCCTTCACTTCCTCCCAAGAATACGTCCACTCCGCATTCCACTGGCCGAACACGTCGCCTTTCAGCACAAACATCACTCGCCTGCACAGACAAAAAAAGGAGGCGGAGGACATCCACATCAAAATGCTAATAGGCAACGAAAAAGTATAACAATGTATCAGGCACATTTGCACGTGAAGTTGTATACATTCTACTGCTGGCAGACAAGGTCTCCTGCTTCTCCTTGTGTGCTGGTATTAAAAAGTTAGTCAACAAAGTACGTCATATACGAGTGTCATTTTTTGGCACAACCCTACTTTTTTCCCATCTACAAATTAAAGAGAGAAAGAGCTCACTTCTCTACTAACGTTACATAAAGAAAAATCAAATTCAGGAATGAAAGAATTCTAAATTTGCTTGCAGAAAGGCTGGCCAGAGCTAGCCTGCCTACCTCTGCAAACTAGGGGTGAGGAAGGAAAAAAAAATGGTGAAAAACAACGAGCATATCAAAGTCCATGACATTCAGGCACCTTGAAACCTATGTTGTGTGCCTAGCCCAGCGTCTTGTAGAAGGTCTAAAAGCTACAGCCCCCATCCCACTGAAGACACGAAGTCACAACACCAAAGCAGGTACGAGAAGCAGTGTACTGTCATTGATGAGACAACAGGATTTCCTGCTCACTTCAATCGAAGCGCCATGTTGAATAATCTATTGAAATAGTCTGAGTGCCAGGCTCATTAATCCATGTGCCAAACATTTAATTCAAGTGCCATCATATTTAATCTAATTGGCAGCTCAAATAGGCCGCGAGCCATTGAGTTTAATCCCAGTGCCACCATGTTTAATCCAATTGCCAACGGCTTTAATTCAAGTGCCAGTCAGTTTAATCCATGCACTGAGAGCAGAAATATGGGCGGGAAAATGTAGTACAATTGAAATGCAGTTCCTACAATATAAAATACGATAGCCGGAAAGAAGAATTCATTTTATTTGTATCCGCTGATAGTACTTCTGAAAAAAATATATATACTGCCATAGTTTGCTCGAGCCATGCTTGAAGCACTTGTACTTTGCTACATACAAGTTTATAGATGAGTGCTTGGCTCAGGCAGGATTATTTTAATGAAAACAAAACAAAAAGCATGAACACGTTAATGTATATTTTTCAGATGAACGAAATTCAGTGTTCGTCACTAGAGCTTATAATGGGAGTTGGCTTTGGCACACACTATAGCATTGCATGACAGAGACGCGACGGACAGACTATGCTTATTGGAGTGACAGAATGCATACTAAGATATGGAAAACTTGGCCGTCGGCAGCGATGGGTCAAGTGCAGCTATGGAATTAAGAAATTAGGAGGCCCTCACAAGGCAGAGTGAATTAGAGTTAATTCTAAGAGGTTTTCATTGTGCAGTGCACATAAAACGTAAACTGATGATCCTGCATGTTGAAAACAGAAGTTACATTCTACATTCATGTCACTTAACTTTTTTATTCAAACAAAATTATGCATGTTCAATGATTCGAACAGTACTGATTGTTGGTTTAGTTTGGTAGTTTGGCGACATACTTAACTACTTAACGCAAAGCAATGAATAGGACAGAGGAAATGAAACGATGAGGACGCGCAGTTGTACGTGGACCTAACTTTTTATGCTGCATTATGCCTCTCACCGCACACTGGAAGATTCCCGATTTACCGAAAGCACTAAAAAATTTGCTCCCTCCCCCTTCTCTCTCTCCCTCCCTCCCTCCCTCCCTCCTTCTCTCTCTCTCTCTCTCTCTATATATATATATATATATTGACACGTGCGGTTCTTTTGGTTTACGAAGAAAGCCGCTATCACTTTCTGTTAAGCGCAACGCAGGCCGCGTTTATCTTGTATGCCACTCTGGAACGCGTTATGACGCGTGTATAAAAGACTGACACGTGCGCAACGCAGGCCGCGTTTATCTTGTATGCCACTCTGGAACGCGTTACGACGCGTGTATAAAAAGCCGGCGCAGTGCGCCACTGGGGGTCTTTTTTTTTTTCCGTCGGCCGACGACTGTTCACGCCGCTGTTGCTGTGAGTTGTGTTTGGCCCTGTTTTGCTGGGCACAAGTTCGCCCAATAAACAGTTCGCCTGACACCGCCCTGACTCCTGCGTGCTTCCTCTCAAGTGCTGCGTGTATCACAACCTCGTGACATCTGGTGGAGGTGCTTCTCGGTCCATGTACCGTACGCCCCCGTCCAGCCGTGAGCCAAGCCCAAGCAGCCAAGAGGACGACGCCGACCCGGTCGTTCGAGTGAGCCGAAGACAACAAGGACTACCGCCCGAATACCTGCCGCTCCCCGACAAGGACAAGAAAACAAAGGCTGCTACGAAGCCGGCATCCACGATGACGAAAGCAAGGTCTTCGGCAACCGTGGTCGTCAACCAGCCCAAAGAGCCGCCTACCTTCCGCGGATCGACCTACGAAGACCCGGAAAGCTGGCTTGACATTTACGACCGCGTCGCAGCCCTCAATAAGTGGGACCCGGACGACAAGCTGCGTCATGTGTATTTTTACCTGGAAGACGCCGCAAGGACTTGGTTCGAGAACCGCGAGTCAACGCTTCGAACCTGGGACGACTTCCGCGTTGCTTTCCTGCGCACCTTTGCAAGCGTCAAGCGGAAAGAAAGAGCCGCATCACTGCTTGAAACTCGGGTGCAGCTCCCCAACGAAAACGTAACGATCTTCACGGAAGAGATGACGTGACTTTTCCGCCACGCCGACGCCGACATGTCTGAGGACAAGAAGGTTCGCCTGCTTATGCGAGGAGTGAAGCAGGAGCTCTTCGCCGGACTGATCAGAAACCCGCCAAAGACGGTACAAGAGTTCCTCTCCGAGGCTACCACCATCGAGAAGACTCTTGAAATGCGGACCAGCCAATACGATCGGCGCATGTCGCCAGACGTCGCAGAAGTCCGAGGACTCTGCCCCGACGACCTGCGCGAGACCATACGCGCTATTGTTCGTGAAGAACTGCGCCGCATGTTGCCATCGTCTCAGCCCCAAGTCGCCTCTCTCGAAGACGTAGTCCGCGAGGAACTACAGCGCTCACTGAGCGTTCCTGAACGGCCACAGCCCCAACCGGAGGCGATGACCTACGCCGCTACTGCACGACAACCTGTCGCCGCTCCTCGCCAACACCAGGACCCAACGTCTCCGCAGTTTCGTCGCCAGCCACCGCCGCCACCCCCGACGCCTTCCCGCTCGCCAGTAATCCAGCGCTCGCCGAGGAAAACTGACGTTTGGCGCACCCCGAACCACCGCCCACTATGCTACCACTGCGGCGAAGCCGGGCACACCTACCGCTACTGCCAGTACCGTGAGATGGGACTGCGTGGCTTCGACGTGAACGCGCCGCGTCCGCGCCCAGGTGAGCGACCTCGCGACATCGCCGACTACATCGCCGGATCGCAGTGGCAACAACGACGACCATCCCGTTCACCTTCGCCTGGCCGCTACGTCTCCCCGGATCGCCGCCAGTACACCGGCCCTAACCGGGGCCGATCCCCAAGCCCCTACCCGGGAAACTAAAGGCAGCAACCGATGGAGGTGCGGTTGCTGCACGACGCAATGCCGAAGATCCTCCTCCGCCGCCGCCGCCGCCGCCGCTGCCGATGACGACGACCACGACGCACGAACTTTCCCGACGTAGTCGCAGTACGCCGCCTGAGCAGAGTCTTTACGACAAAGCCTCGCCGCCGACGCGACATAGCAGCACCAGAACAAGCCGACGCAGCCGTGATCCGACGCCCCGACCTAACCGGAACGCCAGACGACGAACCACTGACCTCGACGTGATCATCGACGGCCACAGCGTCACCGCCCTAGTCGATACCGGCGCCGACTACTCTATCATCAGTGGTCTCTTCGCCGCTAAGCTCAAGAAGGTAAAGACTGCATGGGAAGGACCGGATATCCGAACAGCAGGGGGCCACCTTATAAC